CAGGAGCTACTAGTAGCTTCTTGTTCCTAGTAGCGATGCCAGGAGCTACTAGTAGCTTCTTGTTCCTAGTAGCGATGCCAAGAGCTACTAGTAGCTTTTTGTTTCTAGTAGCGATGCCAAGAGCTACTAGTAGCTGTTTGTTCCTAGTAGCGATGCCAAGAGCTACTAGTAGCTTTTTATTCCTAGTAGCGATGCCAAGAGCTACTAGTAGCTTTTTGTGTGTTTCTTCAGAAATCCAGGCAGGCAGAAGATCACCGGCGCCTTCGTGAAGTCCGACGCAGGCTTTCTGTGCTCTGAGTGCCGCCAGTCTGCCACCTGAGGTGGCGGAGGAGGAAACTCAGATAACAAGCTTGCCTCCAGCAGGAAACTGGGAGGTGTCTTTGGGTTGAGAGGCGGTGTTGTTCATGCTCATGCTCCTTTGACTAGATTGTGAAGCAGGCCTTTTGAGGAAGAAGTGCCTCCCCAACAGCACATGTGGAGTGATGATGTGTTTGCCAAATTGTTTTGGATTTGCGGTCCGAGTTTGACTGGAGGGAGGTATGGCTGCAGTTTAGTTCCTTTAGCCCACACTTTTTCAATATCTCTTTGCTCCAGACATCTCCAGACAAGTGAACAGCTTCGGGACACAGTGATTTCGAGAAGTTTGTCTCTGTCAAGAGTGCGTTTCTTTGCAGTGACTTGTCGGGCGCCCTTCTAACGTTTGGAGCAACATTTGGAGCGGTGGGAGGGAGGCCTGGCCGTTCGCCTAGCCATCGCTTCTTTGAAAAAGACCGGCGATGGACGGCTCTGGCCGTATGGCTCTCCCAGTTTCTGGCCCCTTCGTTGTGGGAGAGAAGCTCCCATGATGAGGGACCATCTCTTCAGATTTGTCCCACCTTGGGGGCCCAAGAAGTCACCCGGAGGTGTGAGGGCCTGGCAGGTGTGAGTCAAGGAAACGCCTTAGGCAGCCTCCTTTTCTCACGAGTCACGCCGTTTCTGTGGCCGCAAGGGACAGCGAGGGACGTGACATTCCGAGCCAAAAGGTGGAGAAAACCCATTTATGCAGCTTGGCATGCAGCTGGAAATCTTCAGATGTGCAACCAGCAGAAGCTTGGAAATAGCTTGCAATTATGTAATCTACGAACTAGCTTGAACGACAAGACCCCACCTGCTCAATACCATCCAGCACCTGTCCAAGAAGCACATGCCTTCCACCAGCATTGTTTAGCCTCCGTCCTCCAATTCGCACAAGCCCTGGTTTCCACCACAACCCCCGCGAGGGCGACCCTCCACGAAGCGTGAGATTGCCAGGCAACAGCCTTTGCTTCTCTCAGCAGCGAAAGCACCCACCTCAGTCACACGGCTCGTGTGTGTGTAGTTTGTGTGTACTTCTACAGTAAGTTTAAGTGTTTCAACTTACACATGAAAGATACATTAAAGCGTAAATCTTCCCATGGGAATCTGAGGCAAGATGGTTTTACCTTTGAACGATGCTGCAAGGCCCCCATCGTTGGGTGTTTGGCGTAGATGGAACCAAATAGCTGCCATCCATAAAATTGCTCACCAATACAGCAGCTGTGCCAGCATTTCTGCAAGACTAGACAAGTTGAAAATCCTGGAACTCCTGTGGCAGACCTTTCCAGATACACACAGAAGCGGAGCCTCACACCGCTGTGCTCCAAACAATTAGCAATCAAGTCAACGAACGGCTTGACTTGTAGCATGGCGACAAGCAGCGCTTACTGACAAGCAAACTTTGTTCATGGATGTTCATGGCATAGGCAATTTTAATCAATTTGACAATAAGAAGGTCCTCCAAATTGCATCGACACGTGTTTGGAGCGAGCAGGGCATGTTGGAAGACCCGCAGGGCATAGCTGGTGCTGGGAGCGGGGGTGGTGGTCCACAGTTCCCAGGACGGGCAGCGGTGTTTCGATGAGGTGGTCTTGACGCGGCTGCCGCGGAAGCCCAGTCATAGTTGATCCCGTCGGGTATGTTAAAATTTCTATAATCTATATAGCAAAAACCATCAAAAACATATATACAACGATTTCAGGGTGTGGCACCAAGCTTACGCGTCTTAAGTGACTAAGCGATGGTTTAGGCGCTTGCTAAACGATGCTATGCATCCTTGCGTTAGCCTTTATCACTTGGTTGTTCTTGCATTCGAAGCATGGGAATTACCCATAGTTGTTCCATTAACAGACACCCTGTTGGAATTGACCGTGGAACCGGGCCCCACATGTTCCACGTTGCAGAGCACATGTCCACGGCGTTGTGGTGGAAAAGGGGGAAACGGATTCTGTGGCCGCTGCTTCGGATCAGCCCATGGGGCCTATGGATTTTAGGTTTGAAATTCGGCCACAGATGGCTCAGGAGCGAAAACGCGGAGTTCGTTGTGGCTGTGACATCAATGAGGAACTGAGGAACTGAGGTTCATTTTTCACTCGGAGTCCGAACCGAAGACGTTTGAGTTTCCGGTCTGCCTGGTTTCATGCGGTCTCGTGCGGTCTCGTGGGTTCGGTCGGGAATCGGGTCGGATCGGATCGTTCTAACCATTGTTCCGCGCTCGTTTGCAGGAGAACGACGAGGCTCACCAGTCGCCATCTTCAACTTCTAGCTATCTCTCATGGCTAGTGGGCGAGCAGGAGCAGTCAACAGGTGACCGATTTTCACTGATAGATAGATGCAGCAGATCCCTTGTCTTTTTGCTTGGTGGCCACAGGCTTCCACTTGTCGTGACCCATGTTTCAGGAGAACGAGGAGGCTCACGAGGCTCGCCAGCCCCCATCAACTTCCAGCTATCTCTCATGGCTCGTGGGCGAGGAGTGCTCAGTAGGTCTGACTCACCAGCCGCTCATGCCAGGCATGAAACTCGTTTCTTCACTTCGCAAACATTGACCAGCTTTGTCGACGATCAATGAATGAATGAATCCGATTATGAGTTGACAATGTCGATGTCTTCTGTCAACCACAAGCTAGCTCATCGATCGCTATGCTGACTGTTTGTACTGTCCAGGCGAGATTCGCTCTCATCAAAATCATCAAAGTTTGTTCTTAGAAGAATAGCAATAATAGTCTGTTCTTAGAAGATTTGACATGGACAACTTGCTATAATCCCAGCCACTCAACCCGCACCAGATCCGTTTCGTTTGGAAACTAATCTATAACTGGCAACCCAAAATCAATGAATTAAATTGCTGGCTGCAAGAGAAAATTGCAAAGTGGCTGGTCCAACATCAGGTACCTCCACCGCAGCTTTGGCGGACTTTGACAGCTAGTGTAGGGTACCTACAGCCTACACGAGAATACAGAGAATGACCCCAGTAGAAGGCTGAGCCCGTTGCCCTCCACTATAAGGTTTCAAACAACGCATAGTTGAAGCCACCCACCAGCCGTCGTTTCAGAAGCCACACGACCAAATCACACGCAGGCATTCACCTAGACACTCATGACAAAGGCGGCAAGCAGACTTCAAGCAGACCATATTGGCTGCAGCCCTCACTGTAGACCTCATCGCAGATATGTTATATATAATGTCCAAGGCAAGACTTCAGATCCCATTGTGATGACTGTACAATGCTCCAGAGGGCATAGGTTCCGCGCGACATAACATGTATGTATGTACAGAAGTTGCGAAGAAGGTTGCGCCGTATCGCCTGGGAAATGTACAAGTAGTAGTCCTGGTCGCACGAATACACGTCAACAACATCTCAACACAAAAACATCTCTTGACAATTCAATCAACATGGCAGTAGCAAAGTCAACACAGATTCGTTGCTGCGACGGTGTAGAGAATGCAGTAAAGTCATCAACTGGCATTGAAGAAGATTCTTAACTACCCATAGGCAAGGGCAAAATCCGAAGACAATCCGAAGAGTGATTCAAGATGATTCAATAAACACTTCAATTGAAGAGAACAAACCTAGGTGGATGTCATAGAGAAATGTGAAGGTGTCACGGCACTCACCTAAATTCGGCTTTGTAGCAGTGTTGATTCCAGGCACTTTCCATACCGGACGCGCGCCTGTGTTCGAGTTCGCAGGAGAAGGATCCAGAGCTCGTGGCACTGGAGGCCAAAGCTGACCGCTACGTGACTCAGCTTTTGGCCTTGGACCGAGTGCTGCAGCAGTGGCGCCACAAGAAGCTGGATAACCAGGAGGCGCAGTTTCACCATGCGCAGCCGTTCGTTCAGTTGCTGGTGTCGTGCATTTGCCAGACCAAGCAGGTGAGTTCCAGTTTGTCAGACCGACCGGGATAGAACTAAGAGAGTGGACATTATATATGTATTTAAATGTATATATATATATTGGGTGAGTCGAGGGATGATGCGGATGCCCTTGACGTATAATTAGAATGTGCAATCAATTGAATTGCTTGGGAGGTGGTGCTTCTCCTGGTAAGAAGGCTCCAACCAGACATCCGGGGCAAGTTTCTCAAGCCCGTTTCAGCCACGAAAGGCATTTCAGAAAGGTAACCCAAAACACCTTGCCCTTCAGAATTCCAGCAACTCAAGCAGCACCCTTGTCACGTCCTCACACCCTCGAGGCCGTGCTTCATGCAGACAACGTCATGGAGAACATTTGCTCCATCGGCGAGGTGGACGGCGACCTGTGTCGCCAACATTTGAAGAAGCAGGGCATCAGCGATGAGCGGAGGACACATGCGCGAATGGCGTTCTTCGCGCGAAGCGGCGAGCAGCTTTGGGGTCAGGGGCCGCAGCTGGCGAGGTGGTGAAGACGGATGGCTCGGATGTCATGCGATAGATCCTAGATGTTGAAGGAGTAGGCTGGCGCAAGAAGAGTGATAAAGATCGATCAAAGCCGCGCAGAGACAAAACACTTCGCAGAGATCCGTAGAGATGCGATGGGGAATATGTAGTGTGACAATGAATCTTGCATGAGTTCAATTGACCAAAATGGTTCGAGCCCGGTGTGTCAGAGTGATTTGTCTTCGCGCGCGTGATAGCAGGATTCAAATGCAGAAAGTGTATCAAGCGCTGCTGCTTGACCTGGGAACTGGGAGTTGGGAGTTGGTGCGAGTGACGGAGTGGGACCTTCCATGCGCTTCTCAATCCAGTCCTGCCTTGGTTCCGAACGCCAAGATTTTCCAAGTACACTTCCCCTCAGCAAGCTTCGGCTTCTTTAGAGCGATGAGCTTCCACCAGTCAGTTTGGAAGACCATTGCTCAGCTACTGTAAATGTAGGAGGTTCGCTGTGAAACAATTTTCGCTGAGCCTTAGCCCATATAAGTTCAAGCCTGAGGCTGTAAGGCTAAGGGACTAGGGCCGGCAGGATATATGTTTCCTGGCTCACATCCAGTGGTACCAGAGCCCGAGCGGCCATTGGGAATGCCAGTGGATTTGGAAAGCCCTGCACCTCGACCACAGGTCCACGGGCGCATTCGCTGCGGCTCCAACGACTCTCGGTCTCGCTTGAACATGACTGACTTGGAGATGGATAGCGTGGACAGTGGCCCAGACACCTGTTGCAATTTGCTTCGGAAGCTCTCCACGCGCAAGATCACATGGGTCCTTGTCACAGCACTTGTGACCACATTGTGCTATGTGTGGGTTCGGCCTGTTGTGTGCCAGGATTCCGCGGCTTGCGCCCGCTATCACGAAGCCGCTAAGGACTTGAACATTTACAGTGCCTTCATCTCGTGTGCCCTAGGCTCAGTCTTTTTGCATGAGATGGTATCCGTGATTCTGATGTATCGGACAGCCAAGAAGGCCATCCACCTGATCCCCAACATCAAAGAGTCATTGCTTCCATCCGTGCTTTTGTGCACTACCTTTGCCGTGCTTTTGTTGGAAAACTTCCCCTTCTTCATGGCCAAGACTCCCTGGTTTGTTCACGCAGCGAACTTGGGCCGAGAAGATCTAGACCAGCAGCCAGTCTACACCATCTTCTTTGTCGAATGGTTGATCAATGTGCCCATCTTGCTGATTCTGGCCGGCACGGTGGCATTGGGCCGACCAGCTCCGGAAGTGGCAGAGCCACTCATTGTCACCAACGTCTATATGACCTTTGCTTGGACCGCAAATTTTGTTCCAAATGAGCCACTCAGATACTGTTTGGTGTCTGTGTCCTTTCTCATGTACTTCCGGGCTTCCTGGACCATGTGCCAATGGGTTCTTCGATGGCAGCGACGAAACCCAGAGGGTCGGATTCTGGGGCGACCTTTGCTATCCTTTGTCCTCATCCTCGTCTTCGGCATTTACGGCCTCATGTACTTGATGAGACTCCAAGGCCTCCTGGACTATCGTGATGAACGTGTCTTCTACACGACAATGAATTTCACGACCAAGCTCTTTGCATCCATGACGCTCTCGGGAATCAGGTCCAGTGAATTTCAAGAAGTGCTCCTCACCATGCTGGCCAATACTCAGACCTCTTTCAAGCGAGCTGTGAACTACGAGGAGACCGTAGAGCTTTTGCCATGAGGCACAGGTTTGCCAAGTTTACCGACACCGAGAATACGACCAGCAAGTGAGCCTCATCGATGGTGTATAGTGTAGGTTTGATGTTTTTGTTCCAGTTTATGTATGTTCCAGACCAGCCTTGAAGAGGCTGACGAATCAGGACTGGAACATCGCAACCAAGCAGCTTCATCTGAAGATGAACCTATTTTAGATGGCTTGGGATATCTTGGGAGTATGTTTAGTTTAAAGGTCATAAAGATCTCGTCTCACATATATTGCCACAAGTGCAGGCCATCTTTGCTGTGCAGTATTTGCACAGGCAGGACCCCGCAATGCTCTTGTCTCAGGCACAAATTTGCTACTTGCAAAAAGATGCGGGCGACTAAACGATTGGCGGAGATATGCAAGATTGCTTGACTTCTAATACAGCTGAGACTCCAATGCAATGAAGCAAGTTCTTCTAGTAACAAGTGCATCGCTACTAGTAACAAGTGCCTTACTAGTAGTAACAAGAAGCTACTAGTAACAAGTGCATCGCTACTAGTAACAAGTGCATCGCTACTAGTAACAAGTGCCTCACTAGTAGTAACAAGAAGCTACTAGTAACAAGTGTATCGCTACTAGTAACAAGTGCCTTACTACAGTAGATGGACCAAATATTCAAACCCATCTATCAATAACTGTCGCCAACCCCTGGCCCCCAAAGGTCAATGTTGAAGATAACTTGATTGAATTTGTGTTTCCAGGGTTTGATTTGTTTCGTCCATTCGCCGAAACATTCTTGCAAGACCTCTAACATTGAGCTTTGGGGTAGAAGGGGTCCACGTGGTTGAAAGGGTTTGAATATTTCGTCCATCTACGGTACTGGGTGTGGACGGCGACCGGAGACCTCACATGCGTGTGTTGTTTTCAAGTGATGCCGGGCGGTTCCAGCTACTGTTCTTACTGTTGCCATGTGCTGTGTCTGTTCCCAGTCCCTTTCCAGTGCCTTTTGCACTTTCTCGTGGCCCTGCCAGCCAAAAAGTGTTTCTGGTAAGTTTTGTTGAAACAAAAAGATAAGCTATCTCTTTTTAGCAAAAAAGTAAACCACATGGCAAAATCACTGGCAGGCGCACACAAACCGTGAAAAGGCACTGGAAAGGCACTGGGAAGAGACACGGCACATGGCAACAGTAAGAACAGTAGCTGGACCTGCTCTTCATCTGGCTTGCTTTCCTGACGTCTGCTGTCCTCGCTCGCAACGTGTCGATGTGAAAGTGTTGTTGAGCACAGAAGATTAAAACACAGAGTACTACGGATGAAGATGTTAGACTTGATACTTACGAGCCAAAAATGCGCAAACGTCACACCTTTAGACAGTAGATGGACCAAATATTCAAACCCATGTATCAATAACTGTCGCCAACCCCTGACCCCCAAAGGTCAATGTTGAACATAACTTGATTGAATTTGTGTTTCCAGGGTTTGATTTGTTTCGTCCATTCGCCGAAACATTCTTGCAAGACCTCTAACATTGAGCTTTGGGGTAGAAGGGGTCCACGTGGTTGAAAGGGTTTGAATATTTCGTCCATCTACGGGTAGTAACAAGAAGCTAGTAGTAACAAGTGCCACGCTAGTAGTAGCAGGTGCCTTACTAGTAGTAACAAGAAGCTACTAGGAACAAGTGCATCGCTTCTAGTAACAAGTGCCTTACTAGTAGTAACAAGAAGCTACTAGTAACAAGTGCCACGCTACTAGTAACAAGTGCCTTACTAGTAGTAACAAGAAGCTACTAGTAACAAGTGCCGCGCTACTAGTAACAAGTGCCTTACTAGTAGTAACAAGAAGCTACTAGTAACAAGTGCATCGCTACTAGTAACAAGTGCCTTACTAGTAGTAACAAGAAGCTACTAGTAAC